TATGCTAAACTAATTCTTTATAGCAATCTCTGGTATGTGCCTAGTTAGTTTACATAAAAAAAAATTTCCCATGCAAACCCAGGTGGTTGTCTGAGTTCTTTTGCATTCTAGTATTCACCCCTCGGTATAGATGAGATTTTCATAAAATTCATATAAATAAACGCGACCCATTCTTATTTGTGCACAATATTTATATGCTACGCATGACCTGAACCGAGATCGTATACGTCCCTTCTAAAAGTATCGAACTATCGGCTAGGTATACCTAGAAACTCGAAGGGTAAAAAGAAGGTAGATAACACCTCTAACACACACCTGTGAAAGATCAATACCTTCGACACTGATCCTTTTTCCCATGGAGCGTGGATCGGAGCTATATAACATTATATAAATTCTCCTTCAGAAAAGTTTGCCGAATATTACGTCAAAACATATAACAGAAAAAAAAACGCGCCTTATGTTCCTTATATATTTGTAATATAAACGAAACAAACAAATTTTATAACTTACATATTTTTTTACATATCTCCTTTTTTTTTGTTTACGTGATGTAGTTTTATAGTTTCTTAAAATTGTACGGCATTTTTAACAAAGAAGTTTTATTAATGGTGAAATACTAGTCGTCAAGCAACATCAACATCACTATAAGTTTAATAACTAACATTGACTCGCATTTTATGTAACATAACGATGATGCAACGTAACGATGGTTATGTAAAATACCAACAAGTGTTCAAGCGAATAACATTGCTCTCGTAGCTAATTGACGTTGCTATCTTGGAAACGGGAGAGGTTAAACTGTAATAGATACTAGAAGAACTATGATCGTAAAGGAGGTAGAAAATTATCGCGCACATCAGAGAGTTTGTTCTAATGTTCTTTTATTTTACTGCAGCAGAAGCTAGATGAAAGATACAAAATTCATTTCCAAACTGTGTGATATTTCTTTGCATCTTTCTTTCGACATTAAGTAAAATATTTGAACTAAATGCATCAAATTTTATCTTATATTCCTACATAAGGCACATTCCTAAAAAATTTAATCATGCCCAGAAACGATATTTTATCATATTATCATTTAAAAACGAGAATTTTTTTACGATTAATAAAGAAGTCTATTAAGTTCTAAGGAAGTTTAACTGAAGATATAAATAAATATATATTACTTTATAATGTAGTTGTATAACATATTACAAATAAACGCAATGAGTTTAAGAGATTGCTATGGTTCGCTTCGAAACTTGTTAAGTTTAATGGAAGATGGAGGTCGATCTTGACGAAAGACAGAAAAGTCACGTAAAACATTTTTGAAGGAGATGAATTTTCGAGCTCTCAAAATATAGACGCTACGGTAAAGAAGTCGCGTGACGAACCGGCGGCAAAGAGGCAAGGGGGGGGAGGAGGGGGGCAGGCGTCGGTGGTGGCAGGACCCCATCGTCGTGAAATCGACGAGCAAATACTTAAGGCGTAACCTCGTTACGCTAGCAGCCAGTGGAAAAGCGAGGAAAATCCTCTCTGAACCCGCCTTTAGCGGCGGCGACGCGGAAAACTCTCTTCCGGTCGTTCGGCGTCCATTCGACTGTTCGATATGCAGTAGGAATACGTCGATGTGCACTCATAAAAATGAATACATGAATCATCGGTACATATACGCGCGACAAAATAAGGGAGAATATGTAAAAGATTCTCAGCTAGTTAAAAATTGCTGCGTTGAGAAAAAGAGATTATCTTCTATTCATATTTATATCTAGTCAAAAAAAATATTTAAAAAAAATTTATAACAAAAATAAAATATAAAAATATAGAATAATATATAAAATTTTCTGCACGTACGTGATATTCTTCTTCGCGACGTAGAAACTAAAGCAAAGAGAGAAGTTTCAACATTGTGAAAAACAACTCACATGATTGATAGTCGATGATTACTAAAGCCAGCGTGTTATGCGCTCTTGAATTTTGAAACGTGAATCTCTGGCGCAAGTATCGTCGCGAAAAGTTTTCCAAATGAAATGCAATTTACATAGTAAAGTTCCCACTTTGCATTCGGAGGTCGTACATCCGACGATGTACGGTATCACCGCCCACGGTTTCTTTCCGTGCAGTCTGCAATTTTCACGCAATGCACAGCCGCGTGACGGAAATCGAAATCGTACTTTTCGGAACGCCGTATGGAAAGAGGTATGGTGAGAGAGAGAGAGAGAGAGAGAGAGAGAGAGAGAGAGAGAGAGAGAGAGAGAGAGAGAGAGAGAGAGAGAGAGAGAGAGAGAGAGAGAGCACAAGAAAGAGAAAATGAACAAAGTGAGCGAGCCACGTTGCAGGAGCAACGACTGAAGATATCAATCAACGGGCGCATTGTGCTCAAGGATAATTTGACGCGCGACTGAAAGGGCCAGATCTCAAATTCCACGATCGGCTAATGGCCCCTATAAGACCCAAAAAAGGATGGGCCCCCGAGGGTATGTACCAAACCGCAGCTTATACGAACAGCTTCGTTTCTGAGCCCACTAAAGGGGCTGTCTTTACGATTGTCTTTTAGATCAAGTTTTTATCTCTGACGAGATACATTGTCAAAAGTCGTCCCGAGGAAACATTTGTCGTAGTACAATGATCGCACTTCACTTCCTCAAACTTCTTCGAAATCTCTCCGTCCGTCGCACGAACATATCTCTCTTTTCGTCTGCGCGATTTACCATCTTCATAACTTTCGACTTATCAAGACGAACTTAAATTCTTGAATAAAGTCTCAACGGAAAAGAAACGTGGTTCGTGTAAGTTAGCGTGTAATTTCAATTGCGCAGCACTAATTACATCTTCGAGAAAGCATAGTAATTAAGCGCAGCGAGTGTCCGACGGCTAACGGAAGATCGCTCGTTTCTAGATATTTGACATATGATGAATGATCCTGTCTATCGTAAAGAGATTAATATTTTTTATGACATATCGATAATTGATCAAAAATTTCTTTTTAACCGGATCTCATATTTTCATATCTTCATTTTGATATAAATATCAATTTAAATTTAGTGTATTCATATTCAAATTTTCTATCAGAAAGCTAAAGAGATCTATAACTATTTAATGCGATTTTGAAAAGAACTCGGAAACCGGACTGCCGATTTATAGAGATGTAAATTTTGTCCTGCGAATATTTAAAAAATATGGACGGATGTTTACATTCACATTCTTTCGCAATAAAGGAAGCGGCTATGAAATATTATCGCGATATCCGTCTCTAACGATCTGATCGCGTGCGATTAGTATTCTTCTTGATACGTCATTCAATCGAGATGTCGTGATCGTTCATCTCTTTCCTCGTTTTCTATTTTGATGTTTCTTCCTCGGTTATCCTTGAAAAACCCACGCACCCGTATGTATAAAAAAAAGTCCATAATTTGACGTTGAAAAATATATTTCGTGTGATCGACCAACTTGATATGATGAATAGTTCATCATATAATTAAATCTGATATTCGTAAAAAACTAATTATCCACAGAGGATAGTTTAAAATTACATTAGTGAAAATTTTTTATTAAACGAGAGACGATACTTGTGTGATATATCTCTCGAGGAGAGATGATTAGAATATTTCAAAAATTGAACAGGGAAAATAATATGTAATTTTCAACTTAAAATATTGGACGGAGTTAAAAATTTGAAAATTAAAAGAACAGAAAATATATTGATTTTAAAGTCAAAGAAATATCAAACTCCTGAAATTTAACAGTTAATTTTAATTTTATTTAATTCACTTTTATTTAGAAGTTTTATTAAGTAACATTTTCCACGAAGAGACAATTCACGTTCGATTGAATATAAACTTTTAAGAAACGCATCAAAGCGCGCAAGCCTCAAAGCCTTTGACGATCGGAATATTTCGTCGATGCTGCGTGATCCTTCGAAAAGCGCGCACGGTTCTTCTTTCCCGCCTCGTCCCGGCAAGTTCAATGGAGCACTTGACTTTGGGATTTTCTCAAACATTGGGATTGAAACCCTGAAAAGAGTGCCACGATTCACGGATTGAAGCTACGTCGACAATACAATGTAACCCTGGGACGTCTGCTACCTGTAACATGGCACGTGCCCTTCCTTTCCACAGATTTGACGAATTCTCTGACCTGACGGGCCACCATCTCTAGGAAAATCTTCACAGGTGGACTCTCTCAAGGCACACAGGGGATAGG